CTATCTGGCGGTCAGAAGCAGCGAGTCGCCATTGCCCGTGCCATTGTCCGCAAGCCCAACATTTTGGTGCTGGACGAGGCCACGAGCGCGCTGGATAACGAGAGCGAGAAGATTGTGCAGGCAGCGCTGAACAACCTGATGGCCACGACCAACATGACCACTCTCGTAATCGCCCACCGGTTGAGCACCATCCGCAACGCGGACAAGATCGTGGTGTTGAATGAGGGCCACATTGTGGAGAGCGGCACGCACGACTAGCTCTTGAAGATCGAGCACGGCGTCTACCAGAACATGTACCGGATCCAGGAGCTGCGATCTCAGGAGGAGCAGCAAGAAGCGGAGAAGCGTGAGGCCGAGAACGGACTAGAGAGTACGAAGATGACACGGACATTGAGTGGGGTATCGGCTAAGACTGACATTTCAGTGAGCGCGGTGGAGAAGAACTTCTTGGACAAGAAGCCGTTCAACCTGTTTGATTTACTGAAACTCAACGGACTCGCGCGGAACCACTTTGTCTTTGGGCTGGTCGGTTCCTGCGTCGGAGGCATTGCGGTGCCAGCTTCAGCCCTATTAATCACGGGCATGATCACTGCTATGACGGAACAATACGCGCTCTTCGAGAGGACCTGGGGACCGATCTCACCTGACAACGTTGTACAACGACGTAGAGCTGTACGGCATTCTCTACCTCGTCGGCGCTGCAGTGATCGCGATCTTCACGTATCTGCAAATGAACTGCTTCAAGTACATGGAGGAGAAGATCACGACACACTTGCGCACCGCCAACTTCAGGGGCTTGTGTTGACAGAATGTTGGCTTTTTCGACGAGAAGGAGAACGCGACTGGCGCGTTGACTGCTGATTTGGCTACGAACGCCACCAAGGTTTCGCTGATGTCTGGAGAGTCCCAAGCTGCGTTTAACCAAGCTGTCTTCACTTTGATCGCTGCGCTTGTCATCTCCTTCGGGTTCGGAAGTTGGCTGCTATCGCTCATCATGCTGGTGCTTATCCCCATGTTGATTTTCGGGGAGGTGGCGCGTATGAAGGAGATGGAGGATGCTGGTTTGATTTCAGATGACTTGGCAATCCCAGGAGCCCACGCGTCAGAAGTCCTTGGGAACATCCGCACGGTTTCCGCTTTGGGTATCGAGAAGAAGTCTGCCACCACGTTTAATGAGCTGCTTCAAGAACCGCTGCGCAAGGGCCGGAAGGAAGAGCAGGTTAGTGGTCTGTCGCTGGGATTCAGCTCCTTCATCATGATGGCCACGTATGCGCTCGTGTTTTGGTTTGGAGCCAAGAAGGTGAACGACGGCACCATTGGTTTTGCGGAGATGATGCGGACATTGATGGCCATCACGATGTCGATCCAGACGGTCAGTTTTTGCCTCCCGATTCTTGACTGACGGACCCAAAGCGTTCAAGG